CTCTAAGGACCTTGAAATTAGAAAACACATTTCTGGCAAGGCCATTTCTGATATTCTGGTCTCCAGCTTTCAGTAAGACTCTTATATGCAGTTTTGGAAGACAAGTATATGAGTTCTTTGGATTTCTGAAAGCTATTAAAATGCTCCCATAGATACTATATATATGTATGTGTGTGTGTGTGTGTGTTTATATATATATATGACAGTAGGTTATCAGGGTTTCTTCATCATATTATCAAGTACAGAAAAGTCATTATGATACATAGTAGCAATAACTCTCCTGTCTCCAACAGGTCACAGGATCTAAGGGCAACCTGGCTGCAGGCACACTGTTGTTAGGCCTCTACTGTGGGAAAAGCAGTAAGTTATACACCCAGCAACTGCCTCATCAGTTGCAGATTCCAGATTCTAGAACATATTTGTGTCTCCTCTTCCTCTTCTGTTTTTTTCCTAACCTTATTTTTCAAAGAAACAACATGACATTAACTATGATAATTACCCTTCTCCCCTCTACTGTATAGTTCTCATTCACTTGATGTAAGAATTCTCATCCTCAGAAAAAACATTCCAAAGAAAACAATGACATCCATAGTCTTGTGGTTAAGTGCCGGATTTAAAACCTCACTCCACTTGAGGTTAGAGATACATACTGATTTAAGGTTAGGGACTTCCTGGCAGTCCAGTGGTTAAGAATCTGCCTTCCAATGCAGGGCACATGGGTTTTATCCTTGGTCAGGGAACTAAGATCCCACATGCCATAAGGCAACTAAGCCGGCATGCTGCAACTAGAGAAGCCCACGTGTTGCAATGAAGAACCAGCACAGCCAAAAATAAAAAATAAAGTTGTTTAGGGAATCAGCTGTAACAAGCAGGAAGTCTGGATTAGAAGAAATCTTGTCTGAATCTGAATTCAGGAGTGATCATGTGTTTGCTGCTCTGACACACCTGGCTGCAATTCCCTTTAGCATCCATCGGTTTGCTCTCAGGATCCATAAACTACTGAGTGTTCGGGCAACAAAATTAAATCATTCCTATTTAGGAATCACTTAGGACACAGTTCAAACTAACACAGGTTTCTTTTATTCCTTTTTATCCCCTCACATTCCATTGAAAACTATACTGTCTATAAGACTAAGTGTGAATTAGGCAGAGATGAGGACTGGTGAGGAGGGGAGGAGTCAGTGTACAACTCACCAACCATATGTGAAATTTAATTGATATTCAAGAGTCATGTGTGTGTTTACTGATGGGGTTCAGAACATGCTACTCCAAAATATGGTGTTATGGCATACTGAATATTTTAAAGCTGAAGGAGTTTGAGTAAATGGCAGAAACAAGGTCACTTGACCTCTTCACCCCTCTTCTCTCCTGAAACAGATCATAAAATCCTCATGTGAGATGTTCCCTCCTTATATCCAGAGGAGAGGATAATTTTTCTCTCCAAATACAAAGGGATGCAGAGAAAATCCTAACAAACAGGACTTGCTAAGTTTCCCCCAGTTTACGACACTTTCCTTGTACTCCTTGTCTTATTTCTCCATGATTTCCCACTCTTTGTCAAACCTAGCATAAAATTTTGTTGTTTGTTTAGCCACTAAGTCATGTCACCTGGGAAGCCAGCATAAAATACTGAATTCAGTTTCTCTAGGTCTTTATTTCCCTGTGACAGCTCCCAAGTCATGTAAAACTTACATTAAATACATTTTGTATGCTTCTCTCTTGTTAATCTGTCTTTGTCAGTTTAATTTTCAGACCCAGTCAGGGACCTTAAGACAGCAGAGGAAAACTTTTTCCTACCCCTACAGTGTCCTGCTGATTCCGTTGTAATGGAAGACCTTCAGACTTCTGAAACATCCAGGTCACCTGTCATCCTAGTATCTTGCTGGTCACTGAAAAAGCTCAGAGTAGACCTAAGCCAGTTTATTTGGACTTTTTTGTGTGCATTTTATGTGTGTCTGCATGACTGGTCTTGAGGTTTTGTTTTGCTTCATAACTGGCCTGGGGAGAGATTTGGGAGCAAACACTAACAGGTGTGAGTGACATTTCTGAAAATGTGTCCTGATCTTTTTCAGGCCCATGTAAGAGTTTAGAGGGTAAGCAGAACTAGGGACTGCCATTCCCTGGTGACACAGTAGTAAAGCATCTACCTGCTAATGCAGGAGACCTGGGTTCCATCCCTAATGAGGAAGACACCCTGGAGAAGGAAACAGCAACCCACTCCAGTATTCTTACCTGAGGAATCCCATGGACAGAGGGGCCTGGTGGGCTACAGTCCATAGGGTCACAAAAGAGTTGGACATAACTTAGTGACTAAACAACAACAGCAACCCTCCAGTAGGCTGTTTAGGTCAATCTATAAAGGAAGGTTTCATGTTAATCTCTGGCACAGTAAGGTTTCCAGTTCCCTTTGTGCTCTAGAGTGAATAAACTGATTATTTCTTCTGAAGAGGGAGGGATTTCATTGAGGGTGAAAAAATAAAAAAAAAATAAACTACTTATCACACTATCTCAATTCTGGCTCTTTATACAACTATTTCTGTGTTGATTAGATTGTCCCAACTGTCCTTTCACTTTTTTAACTTCAAACATAATTACCAGAAGTTAGAACACCTCATTTTTTTGGTGATGACACAAGTGTCATAAATAACTATAAATAACTAGCTGTGTGTGCCTGTGTGCTAAGTAGCTTCAGTCAATGTCCACCTCTTTGTGACTCCACTGACTGTAGCCCACCGGGCTCCTCTGTCCATGGGATTCTCCAAGCAAGAACACTGGAATGGATTGCCATGCCCTCATCCAGAGAATCTTCCTGACCCAGTGTTTGAACCCATATCTGTTATGTCTCCTGCATTGGCAGGCAAGTTCTTTATCACTAGAGTCACCTGAGGAGCACAAATAACTACCTATTTGAATATAACTCAGAAAGGGATCCGAAAAGAAAATAACTATTGTGCGTTTTAAATGATTTAAGAAACTCTGATCCCCATGAGTGAAAAAAAAACTGATGTAAATCTTACCTTGTTTAGTTCAAGAAGATTCATCTTTGCTCACCCATTTAAAACATACAAATGAACAATCAAAACACATCTGTTTTATTTCATATCTACCATAGCTGAATTCGGACTTGTTTAACTTTTAGGAATATGCATAAGCATAGAGATGTCCTTTCTGGTTACTAATCTCAGTTCTGTTTAGACTAGTACTTCTCTAAGTGTGCTCCCAGAACGCCCAGAATGAGCAGTATCAGCATCTCCTGCGAACTTGTAGTAAATGTTAAATTTGGGGGCCAATGCCAGACCCACTGAATCAGCAACTGTTCGGTGGAATTCAGAAATCTGAGCTTTAGCAAGTCCCCCAGCTGATTCTGATGCACAGGAAAGTTTGGGAACCACTGACTTGGACTGTCTTCTATACTGCTGTTTCTCTGGCAAACAAAGCAGCAGATATGATTCAAAAGTTTTAAAAGATTGCTTAGAATTTCAAGTAAATACACAATTCCCAGCTGTGAACTGAGTTTGCTAGAAAACTAAAGAGCTGGCACAGAGCGTTTCAAATGCTTAGACCAGAGAGCCCTTGAGTTCTGCCATTTTAGTCCCACTCAGAGCTTGCAGGCTATGCATGTAAAGGGAGTTCTTGCTCTCTGGTAAGACTGACTCTCCAGCAGGGGTCCTGGAAGTGCCACTGTGATGGATAAATGCTCTCACCAGGTATAAACGAGTTTGGGCCTTAAGTGCTACTCAGTCACTCTCCAGATTGCTGAGCTAACCAGTAAGGAAACGTGCTTGGAGAAAACTGCACATAGTTTTGCCCTGTTTATTTTATCTTTAAAATATATGTCAAATCATCACATCAAAGATCATCCCAGATGGCACCCTCTGGAGCGTTTGGCCCCCGACAGGTTTTTTATCTCCTTGTATTGTAACTGCCTGTCTCCAAATGCATACTGTAACTGACAGGCTGTACTTGTCGCGGAAATCATCCAATATAGGTACAATTCGCATGTGCCGGTGCCTCGCCAACAAAATGTTTTTTCACTGCTGATTTTACCTTCCATTCATCTGCTCGCGACCTCCCCTATTCCCAAACACTACAAATAAGATTCACAAACTCATCACCTACACAATATAATTACATACCCTCTTCCGACACCCTGGTCATCACTTCTCGCCGCCCGGTCCGTCAGGCTGTCAGTTCCCCGACTCCTCACCCCCTTTCACTTCGGTTCCCCTGTTCCAGCGCGACGGGAGGCCAGGACTTGCCTACGCCTTCAGTCCAAAACAAGTGTTACAAACTTCCGCCTCCTCTGCTCTCCTGGTGCCGGCCGACGGCCCCTGCTTTCCAGCCTCGGAGAGAAGCTGCGCTGGCAGTGGCCAGACTCAGTTAGCCAGTGGCCCTTACTTAGGGTCGGTGATAATAGAGAAGAGCACTGCATATTTCCCGGATGCCCTGGGGCGACGTACAACGGAGCTCCCACAATCCTCTTCGCTTCCGCTTGTTCCACCCCCAAACTCCGGCATTAACCCCTTCACGTCCATGTTTATTGGCCTGTCGACGACTCCAGGCACGCAGATTGCATCATTGGGAGATCCCCGACACTTACGTGGTAAAAGACGTGAAAGGCGGGACCCCTAGTTATAGGCTTCCCATGTGGCACTAGTGGTAGAGAACCTGCCTGCGGAACATAAGAAACGCAGGTTCGATCCCTAGGAATGGCAACCCACTCCAATAATCTGGCATGCTGTAATCTATAGGGTTGCACAGAGGCCGACCCGATTTAGCACGCAAGCAGGCCCCTCAGTTATAGTTATCTCGTTTTTGCAGCTTGCTTGTAAATTGGCTTGTAAGCTTACCTGCTACTGCTGCTACTGCTAAGTCACTTCATTTGTGTCCAACTCTGTGCGACCCCATCCCTGGGATTCTCCAGGCAAGAACACTGGAGTGGGTTGCCGTTTCCTTCTCCAATGCATAAAAGTGAAAAGTGAAAGTGAAGTCGCTCAGTCATGTCTGACTCTTCGCGATCCCATGGACTGCAGCCTACCAGGCTCCTCCGTCCATGGGATTTTCCAGGCAAGAGTACTGGAGTGGGGTGCCATTGCCTTCTCCGGTAAGCTTACCTACTCATTTATAAATAAGACCTTAATATATTTGTTGACAACATGAACAGTTCACAATGATGCCTTTAAGTTTCTGAATCAACTGGCACTCTAAATTTGCTGTTTTTGACTGTTCACCTTGATCCTGTGCCTTTTCTACTTTCCATTTCCCATCTCCTTTTAGTTCTTGTCTGACTATTTAATCGCATGCCTCAATGGTTAAGGGTACCGATTTTGTAAACCGGGTTTTTTGGGTTTGAATCTCCACTCTACTATTTATCCAACTATGGAATCTTGGTTAAAGGATTTAATCACGCTATTCCTTGACTTCCTCATCTGTAAAATGGGTATAATAGTAAGATCTGCCTCTAGAGTTGTAGTGAGAATTTTAAAAGTCATATGCAAGCAGCACCTAGAACATTGCCTAGCAAAGAGTTAAGTGGTATATTGGAATAAAAATTACAATTATTGACATTGATGGATATGTCTCCTCAGCTAAGACCTTCTAGCTGATAAATAGTAAATGATAATCTTGATTAACATTTGATTATCTGTGGACCAGGTACTGTGTTAAGTGCTTTACATCCATTTCTGTTTAATCCTCGTGATCATTGGTAGTAGTTGTATTATCCTTCTCTCCCCTCCTCTTTGTTTTTCTAAGCAACTAAGAAAATTCAGAACTATGAGATTGCAGATAACTCAGAGCTACTAACAGATAGAGCCAAGACTTAAAACTCTGATTTGTCTTGTGTGTGTTAGTTGCTCAGTTGTGTCTGACTCTTTCTGATTCTGTGGACCATAGCCCACAAGGCTCCTCTGTCCATGGAATTCTCCAGGCAGGAATACTAGAGGGCGTCTCCATCCCTACTCCAGGGGATCTTCCCGACCCAGGGATTGAACCCAGGTCTCCTGCATTGGAGGCAAATTCTTTACCATCTGAACTACCAGGGAAGGCCTTTTAGATATGACTTGACCCTTCTCAAATATCACTGAGAAAACTGCCATAAATTCTTTGTGAGTGCTCTTCTTTTCCATAAGAGTTCCCTCAATATCCATGCAGGTTAGGAAGGCTAAGTTCTTTTCAGAGGCAGAAGGACAGCAGACAATAAAGCAAGGGTCTCTTCCCTGAAGGCTGGCTGCAAAGATGACTAAAATAGCAAGTCATAATGAACTCAATTATTGTGCCCCACTGTGCCACACAGGCCCTATTACTGCCCATACTGCCTAAGACCACCAGAGATAAAAGGTCCAGGATCCCCTCCTCACCTCATCATTCTCTAAAGCTTGGATATTATAAAAAGATTTTTCTTGTTTTAGGATGGCACCAAGAGACTCTTTAATATACTATTCTGACTCCAGCCAAAGTGGTAGTAATTTCCACATTAGCAGCAGGTAGAATCAGGTATTTCTACCTCAGCCCAAGAGCACATGAAAATCTCCTCTTTCCTAGATAAAAACAAAAAAGGAATCACCTCTTTTCCCTCAGATCCTACAGTACCAGGGTCTTGTTATTCTCGCTCCACACGTTACCTACTCCCACTTCCCAACTGATGCTCAGGCAGTTCACAATGTTTTTTTTTTTTTTTCCAGGATAAAGGCTGCTGATGGTAAAGGGACTGGTAAGGAAAAAGAATGTAAGTCCCCAAGTTTGCTGAAGGTAAACCAAGTACTGTTTTGTCCCTACCCCTGTACCCATTTTGTAGCTCCCTAACCTTCTTTACTCCCTTTTGGCACTTCAGAACTCATTATCCTGCACACCCAGGAAAGCCTTTGGGCTTGAATTGCAGAAGAATCAAATTGTCTTTTTTTTCTTCACAACCCCCAACAATAGCACGCATGGATAGTCGTGTGTGTGTGTGTGTGTGTGTGTTTAATGTGGACCATTTTTTAAAAGTTTTTATTGAATCTGTTACAGCATTGCTTCAGGTTTTTTTCAAATATGTATTTATTTGGCTGTATTGGGTCTTAGTTTCAGCACATAGAATAATCTTGGGCATGCATGATTTTTTTAGCTATGGCATGTGGGATCTAGTTCCCTGACCAGGGCTTGAACCCAGGCCCCCTGCATTGGGAGTGTGGAGTCTTAGCCACTGGACCACCAGGGAAGTCCCTGCTTCAGTTTTATGTTTTGGTTTTTTTGGTCATGAGGCATGTGGGATCTCAGCTCCCCACTGGGAATCGAACTCGCATCCTCTGCATTGGAAGATGACGTCTTAACCACTGGACCACCAGGTAAGTCCCTGGGCTTGGTCTTCTACTCAAAATGGCTAAGTTTAGATTCTTCTCCCATATAGGCCATCACACTGACACAACATTGTGGGTCAACTATGCCAGTATTCTTGCCTGGGAAATCCCATGGACAGAGGAGCCTGGTGGGCTAGAGTCCTTGTGGTTGAAAAGAGTTGGACACAACTAAGCAACTGAGCATACCTATAACTTTTTTTTAAAGTGTGTGTGTGTGTTAGTCACTCAGTCATGCGACCCCATGGACTGTAGCCCTCCAGGTTCCTCTGTCCATGGAATTTTCCAGTGGTTAAGTTTAAAAAGATAAAGGAGAGGGATAGAATTAGAAAGCTTTTATCTTAATTTCCCCCATTACTTCTAGTGTCAGACTATTATAAAGTGTCAGCATAGGGGTAAAGCTGAGAGAAGTCCAGTTCCAGAAGTCAGGAAATCTTCCCTGGTGCAAAGCATAAGTGTCAACAGAAGGAAAACAAGCAGGCAAGGGTGTCTCTAGGGCCAGTAGAAATAAAGCAGAGGTTGGGTGCAGATCTCAGACATAAACAAGAGACCCTACACTTATAGCTCCTTTCATCCTAAACCCATATTCCCATTCCAGAGACTTCATCTGCCTCAAATTCTTACCAATCTGGTTTTTTGACTGCTGGGCAACTTGCCCTGATCACAGAAGCCACCACCAGCTGCTATTGCTTTGCAAAGAGAGTAGGTAAGGGGAGAGGATATTCCTTATTCCTAAACCCAATTTTAGAAAGGGAGATGTTTTACCAGTATCTCATCCCAGATGTTCTCATAATGTAATTTTAGAAACTGTCATATGTAGTTTGTGTTCAAGTTCTGCCGTGCTTTCTGTGGTTTTTTCAGTTATATGTTTTTAAGGGCTCATCTGCGGTCCTAACACACATTTGACAGTGTTTCTATACTGTAGGGTACACACACTGCTGGTGACCAGTTCAGGCTCCCTTTACAAGGCAGATGGACTGATTCCCCCAGCAGCTGTGGGTGTTAGCAGCTGACTACAGCTGCTTCCTTTTCTGAATAATTGCACTCTGCAGAATAAAAGCTTCAGTACTGTTATAAGACTCATTCTCCTCACACACCCCTGCAACCTAACAAATGAAAATGAGGCCCAGCGTATTCCTAACTTCTTTTGTCTTGCTGACATCAACAGATTACATTCTCTCAAATTAGAAAGTAGATTCATTCATGCTTCATTGTAGTTCTTTTTCACTACAGACTATGGGGAAAAAACTTATAATTGTTAGAAAAAGCTATTCGAGACTTGTTAAAATTTTGGTTAGATTATAATTATTTTGTGATAGATATTCCTGCTCTAATAGCATGAATCTTAAATTGATCAGTTATTGGCTATTTCATTTCTGTTGACTGTAAGCTGTTACTGAAGATGGCCAAGAACAAGCCCAAGGTTGTGTATCTAATAAGGATACTCTGATTAAGCTAGAAATGTTAAAAAAAAACAGACAAGACTACCAATTTCCAAATAATAAAAATATATCCTAAAATAATTCTGGTATAATTCAGAAGACATATTGGGGTCATTATTATAAACCTTGATCATAATATTGTAGAAGTGTGTAGGTATTGGTTGAATAGGGTTCAGGTTGGAAAAGTGTTCAGATTAAAAATGATCAGATTTTTAAATTTACATTTGCAGCCATACAAAATCCTTTACTTCTGGCATCACACTCAATTTCTTCCTCGAACACATAAATCCTATTATAAAGCCTTTGTAAAACCACCATACCAAAACAGCTGGCTAAATCCACTCTTCTAGCTTAAAAGAGCCAAGGTGATTTTTTTTTGCTGGGATTATCCCCTCAATTAACTTCCATCTAAATTAAGACCCAAACATATCTGAAAACTTATTTCTCTGTGGATTTTAATATATTCCTTTTAGTGTGACCTCTGATCATTAATTCCCTTTCATTTATTATTTACATGTATTTATTTGTATATTCTATGTTATTATTTATTATTTCAGGCTTCCTTGTGACTCAGCTGGTGAAGAATCCACCTGCAATGCAGGAGACCTGGGTTTGATCCTTTTCAATTCCTTTTTACTTGCTATTTTGCTAAATATATTGATTTTATCCTCCCTTGAAAAAAATCAGATTATGAAAAGTCTTTTAAGTGTTGGTTTTTGATTTGGTAACTGAAATAAACACTTCCTATTTCATAATAGGAAAATATCATTATTTAAAAATTTATACTGATCTGAAAACTATTGTTTCTGAAAAGTCCTTTCCACATTAGTCAAATAAATCTCAGTATTTATAGAGCTTGTTCAGTAATTTAGTTCTGTACAAGATTTTCAGTATAGTATAGGAAAGAATACTGTGTTAACTTGCTTAACACAGGTATACTGAAGAGAAGAAATGACTTTCCTAACTTATCTGTAATCATTGTTAAATGAAGTCTTGGTAAGAGCAAAGAATGGTGAATTACTCATTAAAATTTTTGAAGTACTAGAGCATTGGAATGGGTAAAATTATACTGGAGGATAATATAACTTATTTTCAGAAATAATAAGAAAATTGTATGAGGGTAGATATGCAAATTTTATTATAACAGTATCCTCTGTTGGTATTTCTCAAAAATTTTCTGCCTATCAACCCTTAAAGGTTTCTAAGATTGTAAATGATTAATTATCACATTATCCATTTCTAATAAAAACATTTTCTAAGTCTTCATCTATCTTTCAACATTCACCAGTTTCACCATGGAAATATGAAATTTCAGTGTCACTGTTGATACACAGTGCCCATCTTTTCCGGCCTAGTTGACAGATATGCATATTCTAAAATCCCAAGCCAAATGTCACTCCCTCTGTGACAAAAGACCTTCCCAATCTCCTTTTTCCTATGCAGAATTCATCCTTTCCTTAAATGTGCACTCATAGGTCTTTATACATACCTCTTTTAGACCTTGCATCTCACTGTGTTATAATAATATGTTGCATAAGTTAACAATTGTTTTTGCACATCATTAAGAAACCCATTATTTTTCTATTATATAAAAAAATCCAAAAGTAGGCAGTTCAATATTGTTACAGCTTCTCCTTTCATTTTTATGCTTTATTTTCCAAGCTAAAGCTCTGCCTTCCTAGCTCAATTTCCTCAATGTAACAATATAGTTGCTGTAGCTCCAGCCATCACACCCATGTCCTAGGCAAGAATGAGTAAAAAGGTAATGCAAAATGGCCTCCCGGCTTAACAACTTTATAAGCACTCTGACTCCTCCTCCCCCACCCCAGTGCATGTATGTGCACATAAACATACACACGGACAAAATTTTGAAACTTTCTAGGAGGCCCCACCCAACAACTTCCACCTATATACCATTGACCTATGTTTAGTCACATGGACATCCCTATTTGAAAGAAAGACTGAGAAATTACATTTTTTCCTATTTGGGTTCATAGCCACACCCCCCACCCAAGAAAATCAGGTTTTATCACTTAGAAATAATGGGGAGAAAGGGATAAACAACTAGCAATCTCTGTCACATTCTTTCACTTAAGAAAAAAAATCATACCTGTTTCCTTACCTAGGCTGTAAAATCTTGGACGGTTTAGAGTATGTCACATTTATTTTGTATTTCAAGGGCCTAGAATAGTACATGACACTATTTATTGTTTATTTTCTTCACCTGCAATGTGAAGGGTTATTTTATGTAATCTTCCAAATAAAAAAGATTTCATGTTTTACCAGAATAATTTCTGTGCTTTGTGTTGACTTTAATCATGTCCTTGATTATTTAAGAAAACAAAGCTTCCTCACTTATGACAGAGCTATGGTTCTTGAGAGTCATGTTACCTTCTGTGTTTATTTTTAAATGCTTTATTGTTCCCTTCATATGAATAGCCAAATACTGTTTCTTTTCACCAACTAGCCTATTTTAAGTATTCAAATTTCTTGACTTTTGATTTTGTTTTCTTCCTAAGGTTGAATCCTAAATGTAAAATGAAATGAAATAACTTTCAGGATATATTTTGCACCTAAAGCTATCTTTGATATTTTCCAAAGGACCCTCAGTTGGTCAAAGATTTGTTCTTTCTTTTACCTTAGAAAAAGGTGCTAGAAACTATTATGTTTATTTAGTGTTACTATTGATGAAATGCATAGGAAGAGTTGTCTAATTAGAAGAGATGCTCACTTTCCCCTAAGTTACATTTGTATGGGCAAAGTATTACTAACATAAAAATGTCAGAAATTGTATCCTAAATGGAAAATAATCTAGAGATTTCTCAAGACTCTTGGTCTCCACGGTATTTCTATTTATCAGAGTTCCGGTGGTACTTTGCCTGAGAATATTAGGCAAAAGCAGTTTAGCATTATCAGTTATAATTTTAGTTATTATTATAAACCTTTTCTTGGCCAAAACCTTACTTCTTATTAATTTGAATCTAGCATCTTCAAAGCCTGTGGCTTTTAACTCCATACTTAACCTATGGAGTTCCATTGAAATATAGGTTTTGTTGTACCTGCTCCAGATTTACTGAATTTCTTTAGTTGCTATTCTATTTTTTATTGGAGGATAATTTCTGTACAATGTTGTGTTGGTCTCTGCCATACAACAATGTGAATCAGTTATATATATATATATGTGTGTGTGTGTGTGTGTGTGTGTGTGTGTGTATGATATATATCCCTTCCCACTTGAGCACCACCCCCCCACCAATTCTACCCTTCTAGGTTGTCACAGAGCACCGGGCTGGGCTCCTTGTGTTATACAGCAGCTTCCCACTAATGTATTTTACAGGTGATAGTGTGTATATGTCAATATTACTTTCTCAATTTGTCCTAACCTCCCTTTCCCCCCCTGTGCCCACAAGTCTGTTATCTACATCTCTGTCTCCATTTCTTCTCTGTAAATAGTTTCAACAGTACTATTTTTCTGGATTCCATATGCATGTATTAATATATGGTATTTGTTTTTCTCTTTCTGACTTCTTCACTCTGTATAACAGAATCTAGGTTCATCAACCTTACACCAACTGACTCAAGTGATATCATTCTCAACAGTGAAAACCTAAAAGCATTTCCTCTAAGATCAGGAACTAGTTGATATTCTTGATATTCTATAAATATATATTCTTCCTGTATGTTTAGTATATTCATGGTATAGAATGTACATCATATCTCTATTATTATCTTTCAGTTTTTTCCTCTATAAAAATTGTTTCTTTTTTTTGTAAATCAGATGTAATATTTATTGTTTTTGATGAAAATATACTCAATTGTTATAGATATTTTGTCTAAAACTTTGGTAATTGGCATTATCAGAATTGGCTCTGATATACATTTTGCTCCATTAGTTTGTCTTCTAGGAAAAAGGATAAACAGATAATTCAAAAAAGAAAAAAAGGAGGGGTCTCCAATTAGAGGACTGAAACCCTAACTGCTTTTTTGGAATTCTGGATTTCTTTTTCCTTTTCTCAGGCCCCTTAATTTCATGCTTTATAAAAGGCACAGAAAGTAGAGCAAACCCTACATGCTGTGGTTCAGAGAATATCAAGCGATCTAGACAATGCTACTGTAGTGGGTTGAATGGTAGACCCTGAAAGATATTTCCATATATTAAGCCAAAAATATTCATAAAGATTTTGAGAGGAGAGCTTATCCTGGATTATCTGGGTAGGCCCTAAGTCCGAAGAAAAGTGTTCTTAAAAAAGTGAGACAGGGACTTCCCTGGTGGTGCAGCAGCTAAGATTCCGAGCTCCCAATGTAGGGAGCCTGGGTTAGATCTCTAGTCAGGGAACTAGATCCCACATGCCACAACTAAGTATCCTGCATACTGAAACTAAGACCCAGCACAGCCAAATAAATAAATAAATATTTTTTAAAAAGTGATGCAGAGGAAGATTTGAGAGACACAGAAAGAAGGCAGTGTGATGAAGGCAGATGTTGAAGAAATGAGTCTACAAGTCCATGAATGCAAGGGTAGCTACAAGAAGCTGAAAGAAACAAGGGACCATTTCTCCTCTAGGGCCTCTGGAGTGAGTGTGGCCCTGCCACATTTCAGATTTCTAGGCTTCAGAACTGTGCAAGAATAAAGCCACCAAGTTTGTGGCAATTTGTCATAGCAGCCTTATGAAACTAATAACAACCATTTAAAATGATAGAACTTCATGCCCCAGAAGTTCATGAAGTTGAATGGGCCATAGTTCAGAATTGAACTACCTTAGATATAGGATTGGCTTCTTGAGGGAGAACGTGAGCTAATTTAACAGTAGGATGTTGTGCCTACATCCCTACAGTACTCTCCGAGATTTATTTATTTATTTATTTTTGGTTGCATTGGGTCTTGATTGCTGCATGTAGGTTTTCTCTAGTTGTGGCTTGCAGGCTCTAGAGTGCAGGGCATATGGGCTTAGTTGCACTGTGGCATGAGTAACCTTCCTGGACCAGGGATTGAACCCGTGTCCCCTGCATTGGCAGGTGGATTCTTAACCCCTGCATTGGCAGGTGGATTCTTAACCACAAAAGAAGTTCTCTGAGATCTTTGATACTACTAAAAATCAGGAAGTAAACCAAGAAATCTGAATTTGGGTAATTTGGAGAACAACCCCATAGCTGGTTTGGCAGGCTCTTCAGATCAGGGATGGGATATACCCCCCTTGGTTTAATATAGGCATTCATGGCTCCTGACTGAAAAGTGGACCACGAATTCTGATCATAATCAAACATATAAACTCTGATCATAATACTTCTTTCAGTATTTAGTATTGTTTTTCAGTTTCAGATCTGTGATCTCTATCACAGCTGTTACTATGACAAACAATCTAGCAAATGGCTATATAGCAGGAAGAGCAGAAAAGCCTGATACAGAGATATAAACAACCACTGTGGGAAACTTGGGGACCAGAACAACTATAGACAAACTTGACATGTGATTGTGATACCCCAAACAACAGTGAAAATCCAGAATGGTCACACCTTAGATATTAATAGTGTATTTAAGGGAAAACTGAAAGCCCAAACTGCCTATCCCCACACTCAGCCTGGACTCTGAGAACCAAAACTATGCTTACTGTCTATATTAGTATAACTTTGCTGTTCCTCTGTCTTCATGAGCATCTCTTTATTTTCAGGACTGTCCTGCCCAGGCAAACAGTTTGATTGCTCATCCCAAGAACTTCCCCAGGAAACAAAGTTAATATTCAAAAGTGTCACTTTCCTATATACCTGCAATGATCAAGTGGCGTTTGAAATGAAAAACACAATACTATTTACATTAGCACTCCCAATGGTCTATAGCTTCAGTGCAATCCCGATCACAATCCCAACAAATTATTTTGTGGATATCGACGGACTGATCCTAAAGTTTATATGGAAAGTCAAAAGACCTGGAATAGCCAACACATGTTGAAGAACAAAGTCAGAGGACTGACACTACCCAACTTGAAAACCTACTATAAAAGCTACAGCAGTCAAAACAGTGTGGTATTGGCAAAAGAAGAAACAAATAGATCAGTGGAACAACATACAGTCCTAGTACAGACCAACAAAAAATAATCTTTGACAAAGGAGAAAAGATACTCTTTTCAACAAATGGTGCTGGAACAACTGGTCATCCACATGCAAAAAAATTAATATAGACATAGACCCAGTAGGGCTTCTCTGATGCCTCAGTGGTAAAGAATCAATCTGCAATGCAGGAGACATGGGTTTGATCCCTGAGTTGGGAAGATCCCCTTGAGGAAGAAATGACAACCCACTCCAGTATTCTTGCCTGAAAAATTGCATGGGCAGTGGAGCCTGGTGGGCTACAGTCCAAAGCATTGCAAGAGTTGGACACAACTGAGTGACTGACCACATACTGAATACCCTTCATAAGAATTTCCCAAAAGACCCACCAGCGCTTCAGTGGAAAGCATTGACAAAGTTTGCACCCTAAGATTCTCTGAATTTCTTACCTCAATTCTTGGCTTGCTGCTTCCACTACTCTTGGACTGTTGTGTCATGAGTCTTACTCAATCCTAGTCAAGTCTCTGCACTGAAATCTCTACTTTAAAACAAACACCCTATTTTAATCAATTCTATCCTTACCTTCTTCCCTCTGAGACACTGCCAAATCTTTATGGAATAGATGTTCTGCCTTGCTGTGATAAGTAATATACTCAAGCTTTGTTTTTCAAGTTGTGTTGGTGATACTTGGGGAGCTGATTTTATATATATATATATCTGGGGCTTCCCTGGTAGCTCAGCCGATAAAGAATCTGCCTTCAATGCAGGAGACCCTGGTTGGATTTCTGGGTTGGGAAGGGATAGGCTAACCATTTCAGTATTCTTGGGCTTCCCTGGTGGCTCAGATGGTAAAAAATCCGCCTGCAATGTGGGAGACCTGGGTTCAGTCCTTGGGTTGGGAAGATCCCCTGGTGGAGGGCATGGCGACCCACTCTGGTATTCTTGCCTGGAGAATCCCCATGGACAGAGGAGCCTGGCAGGTTACAGTCACAAAGAGTTGGACATGACTGAGCAACTAAGCACAGCACAGCACATCTAATATATCTAGGTATAGACATAGATATATACACACTTATAATTTGCATCCATCAATCACATGGAAAAATTATAAAGATTAGATCACAGATCATTGTGTCAAATTCAATATATTTCTATCCAATAGTAACCAAAATGATAAAGATTGTTTGGCAATTCTTGATCCTGTTCAGTCTCTTCACAACCCTCTTGCAGTCCATCATCTCTTTGGGTACTAAGTTATGCATCTGAGAAAGATAGATCACTCCAGGGTTGCATTCCAGGCCCAGCCCCTCAAAGAAGGTAGGGAACTAATATATACATATCAGAATTATTCCATTTCATTATAATTGTAGGGAAGGATGAATTGGGTAAATGCATTCAGACTAGGTATCCCCAAGGAACTAACCAAGCAAATTGAAGTGAAGTAAGAAGGAAGGATGCACAACAGTCATCAACTCCTAGATCATATATTTAAGTAAACATTATACACACAGTGCACATACTCTATGTGCTGCATCATTATTTCTATAACTGTTTCTCAACTGAAAAATATATTTAAGGGAACTCTTAAAAACTTTCTCAGACCCAATCATTTATGTTAATTTTTATACTACTATTTCTTAAATATAAATAAAACTAAATATGAACTCTGCTGTTCATAAAGCTCTTATACAAATTCAATTTACCAATTATGCACAAATTTTAAAAATGTTCATTTAATGTGGTACATGATGTTTGCTGAGACAAAACTGCCCTTAGAAACCTCAGCATACTACGACTGGCCTGTATGCATGCTTGTATGTGTGTCTTGTGAGGACTCTCCTTTCCCATCACTTTCCATTTTCAAATGATGAAAATTTTCAGTTGTACAGTAAGCCTTGAAGGAGGAGGGTCACTTTATTTCTTTTCTCACTAGCTCATGACAAAGTAGTATTACTTTGTGCCAACTTGGTTTTAAAAACAGACTCAAATACATGTCCTAATTATGTGGCAGCTGTTACGATTCAGTCATCCAGAAACTCCAGAATATGCCTAAAACTGAATGTAAAACATACTTATAGAAAAACTCAGACTCTGACATCGGATTCCGGTTTGAAAAACACTGTCCTATTATAGTATGTGTAAATAAATATATGTTTAAATGAGACTATTTTGTTAGCTTCTTACTAATACTTTATGGTACTATTGTCTGAGTACCTGCATTATAATGCAGCACTTGACTCCTGCTTCATTTGGAGAATCAAGTCTCCTGTTTGTATGGGCCATTCTGTCTCACTAGTCCAGGCCCCTGAAAATGGGTGCATTGGAGACCATCAGTTAAACCATCATCACTGTTCTTTGATCTCTAAATTGAGTGAAAGAAGATATACTCAACAGTGCGGTAGCCAAATAACTGAAGCAAGACATTAAATTTTAAGGAGCGGTTGAGGAGTTTGTAGGACAAGACACTGTTTGGGGCTCATGTGACAACTCCCCACTTCTCCCAACCCCCTTTCTCCTTCCCATCCTCCTGCATTCTTTCACTGTTCCTCTCCTTTCCATCTACTTCTACACTTCCCTCAAGGATCATTGCGATGTTTTTCCATAAAGTTAAATATATTTAATTTTTTTTAATTGAGAGATTATGGCCTTATCATTTTATATTAAAATGTACTTCCTTTTGTAAAATAGTCGTAGGTAGTTTTAAAAATTGTCTTTGGCAAAATAAGTAATTGGTAACCTTGTGTTTTCCTCCGACTATTTTTAAAAATTTTACACGCCCAAGATCTGGAACTACTGTCTAGAAATGAGAGAGACGAGAAAGAGGTAGGAAGAAAGAAAAACATGCGACACCTAATAAGTTGATTTATCAAGTTCAAGACGTTTAGCGCCTTACTGTATTATATCTTCTACAGCAGCAGGAATGCCTCAGTCTCATTTGGGAGTCAGGGAAGGCTTCACAGAGGAGGTAACGTTTGAGTTGGGGCTTTAAGGATTAGCAGTGGAGAAAAGGCAGGGCTTTCCAAGCAGAACGCATAATGTGAGCAAGAGCACAGAGCACAAAAGAGCATTACGTGCCCAGCAACTCTAAGAAGCCCGCCGGCTGTTGCCAAAAGTTCTCAGGGTTAGGCGATCAAGAGAGAAGCAGGGACTATTTTTTTCCTACTTGGCCCTCTTCCCCCGCAGCCCATCGCACAGTGCTGGGCACACACACTGCAGGAGCTCAATAAATACTTGTTAAATTGAGACAGGGTGATCGAGTGTGCTGGGAACCAAAGCCTCCGGATTCTTTCTCACGCACCCGCAGTGTGACCTTGGCCAAGTCCTTTTTCTTGGGACTGTGGCTTGCCGCTTAGTAATCATCGGAGGGTGAGAAAGTGGAGGAGGTGGGTGAGAAAGTGGAGGAGGAGGTTGGCGTGAAGCGTCGGGCTCTTACAGCTCCTGGAATCCCTGATTCGACGCGCGGAGGACGGGGCGGGGCGGGGTGGAGCCGGCGGGGCGGGCTGCGGCGGGCGGAGATTCAGTTCCTCCTCCGCGCCAGCAGGGGGCATAGGGAGCGTCTTCCCGCTGCCTTTCCCCTACCTGCGGGCGCCTGGCGGACTGCTGCTGTCGCGAGTGGCGAGCGCGGTGGGCGGGCCGGGTGGCGGCGGCGGCGGCGGCGGCTCTACGTTGGGCTGGGGCGGGAAGCCGCGACGACAGCTGAGGTGGCTGCGAGGCCACTGAGGGGCTGATTGGGGGGCCTCGAGCAGCCCCTGCGAGCCGTCAGGCGCTCCCCGGGCAGCAGTGGGCCGCAGACAGGTTAGAGTAGGGGCAGGGGCAGGCGCGGGAGCAGCCCTGGGCCGGAGTGGGAGTCCGAGCCAGGCCATCTCCAACCATGTCCGACGAGGCGTCAGCCACCACTTCGTACGAGAAGTTTCTAACTCCCGAGGAGCCCTTCCCGCTTCTGGGACCCCCTCGCGGGGTGGGCACATGCCCGAGCGAGGAGCCGGGCTGCCTGGATATCAGCGACTTCGGCTGCCAGCTCTCCTCTTGCCATCGCACGGACCCGCTCCACCGCTTTCACACCAACAGGTACAAACCTTTGCTGAGGGCAGGAGCAAATTTACCACACCCCTGCCTCCAGTCGGACAACGTCGGCTCCCCCCGGATCCTGGCCCTCCGCCTAGGGGCTGTGCGTCCAGTTGCACCCTCCCTCACTTTTCTCCATCCAGCTCTCATTCTCGGGCTCCTTCCCTCTCCCCCTCCCTATTGCATCCCTTCCCTCCTATTTTCCTTTTGGCCGGCATTTTACTCGCTCCCCCCACCCCATTCATCTTCTGACCCTTCCGTTCCCTTCCCTTCCCCCTTGTGCCCCATCTGTATCCCGCGAATCCCAAACCCCCACCTTTGATTTTTAGATGCTTCCCTGTTTCCATCCACCAGCAAAAGTTTAACCCCTTCCAATTCCGGTATGCTATAGAGAGGATTTCGGATGGCTCAAAATCAAAATAAGTCGACGTTTTGAAAGGTGGCATTTTAAAAGCTAGAATCTTCCTTTCCCTATTTTTTTAATGTCTTATAACGCTGTTTCCAACCTCCAACCCCCCTCCCATTTTTTAGTGAAGCTCTAGAAAACCAGACGATTCTCTTTTTTTTCCTTCCCCTATGAACTCTTTGCTTTAGGCAGCGCTTTAGGCCCTGCCAAAATGTATAAGCTTAAATCTGGAAGATTCTTTCCTGAAGCACATCCTTTGGTTTGCTCCGCCAGTGGAGGGATGTAGCGAAGCTTAGGATGAGCTTGCTTATACAAATTTTTTCAGAGGGTGCATCCCCTAACTAGTTTTATTACAAGGTAGAGTGTTCTGGAGAATTCTCTCATGCAGACATTTGTGTTATATCAAATGCGGGGAATTTGAAGATGTTTTACACACAGCCCCAACCTATAACATAGGCGCATATTATATGTATTTGTGTATGTGCATGCTCAATCGCTCATGTCTGACTTTTCTCTTACTCCATGGACCATAGCCCACCAGGCTCCTCTATCCATGGGATTCTCCAGGCAAGAATACTGGAGTGGGTCGCCATGCCCTCCTCCAGGGGATCTTCTTTACTGCTGAGCCACCAGGGAAGCCTGTATAGGGGCACACAAACAGGCAGGGCAAGGTGTGTGGAGAACAAGGGAGGTGGAGGAGAGGCAAGGGAGGAGGGAAGGAGAGAGGGATTCAGCTATGGAAAATACTGGAGCTGAATTAAGGCGTCTAGTTCTGATTTCTGGTCCATTTTGCGATATGAGCACGAACAAATCCTTCCACAGTCTAATACCTTTTGCGTGCCCCCCCCCCCACCAATCCCTTAAATCAATCTACAGAGTTGCTGAGCTTCTACTGAGTACAAGGAATGTATCAAATACATTTGTTACCTAAAAGAAAGTTATAGTCTGGAAACAGGATGTTACAGTTAAATAATGATATAGTTCATCACTGTAACACAGTTGAAAAGGAAGTCACGGTAAGTTGGTTTTAACTGTTCCAAATCCTGGTTACAAAAAATGAAGAAACGGAAAAAAAAAAAATGAAGAAACGGGCCCAGAAAGAAAAGACTGAGTTCAAGGTCATAAAACCGAGTTTGGCAAAGCCAGAATTACTCCTTTGGAGCCAGTGATGAAACTTGGAACAGAGCTAATGGCTGCAGTGTTATAAATGGTTGTTATAGTTTCTTAGACTAACACAGAAGCCCAGGATGTGACTATAGCATGAATGTAACATTTATGAAATCAAGTGTGCTTAGAATTGTTAGCATTGGAAAATAAAAATACTTGTGCACATATTTGATATTTAAGTTTTGCAGCATTGGAGTAAATCATATACATAGGAAAGTTAAATGATCTCAGGATTAGCCTGCTCTAATGATGAGGGCAGGGGAGTGGGGACAAGGGTTAAGTGCTGCCAAAATGTGTGGGGGTGCTGGGGAGTGAAGAACAGTGAATATACATTTCTTACAGATTGTTCTGTTCTCTCTCCTCCCCATTTTCTCCTTGTGTTTTTCTCCCCCTTGTCTATCAGACGTTGGTGAGGTCAAGGTTGTTTTCCAGAATGAGGTGATGAAGATAGAGGGGGAGGTTCTTGTTCAACCCCAGTTTTTCCAAGTCAAGTATTTTTTTCTAGTTACTGCCTGTTTTTCAAAACCCCCTCTCCTACCCTGGGCTTCCCTGGTGGCTCAGCAGTAAAGAACCTGCCTGCCAATGCCAGGAGACACAGGTTCAATCTCTGGGTCGGTAAGATCCCCTGGAGAAGGAAATGGCAACCAGCTCCAGTATTCCTGCCTGGGAAGTCCAATGGACAGAGGAGTCTGGCGGGCTACAGTCCAGGGGGTCATGAAGAGTCCGACAGGACTTAGTGACTAAACAACAACAACAGCTCCTTTTCACAGGGCTTGGAATGGTAGCAGCAGGTCTAGTGTATCTTGCTCTGTACTCTTCTCAGCAGAGTTTAGGGGAAATAGAGTTAGCAATTCTTAGAGCACGTGATGTTTCTGCCCCAGGCTACCTTACTTTTTAAATCTTTTTTTCCTTTTGGAATGTCCTGCCTTATTATCCCCTCCTCAGGATGATGTTTGAGAGGACCATATGCTTCCAGTCATTTCTTTTTAGGGAGAAGCAAACAGCTAAATCATATATGTGGGCAAAGTTTAGTTTAAGGAGTTCTTTTATTTCAGAATCATATGGGTCACTTTTTTTCTTCACAGCACATTATTCACCAATTCAAGGAACAATCCAGCAATCAGATCTGAATAGTTGAGTACTGATATTGTGTCTTGGGTTTGCTGTGTGCTTAGTTGCTCAGTCATGTCCAACTGTCTGAGACTCCATGGACCATAACCCGCCAGGCTCCTCTGTCCATGGGCATTCTCCAACCAAGAATACTGGAGTGAGTTGCCATGCCTTCCTCCAGGGGATCTTCCCAACCCAGGGATCAAACCCAGGTCTCCCATATTGCAGGTGGAGTCTTTACTGTTTGAGCCACCAGGGAAGCCTTGTCTTGGGTTTAATCATTATAAAATAAGTCCCATTGAAAACAGAAAGCTTGTCAGTGGGTAGATAATTGATTTACCTTTATTTTGCTTCTTCATTGTTACCTGATAACAAAACTGTTATCAGGAGATTATTTAGATAATGCTATTGATAAGGGCCTTGTGATGATGACAATTTTGTGCCCTCTCATTTACTGGACGCTGGGGTATCTATGCAGTCTTCATTAACCAAGAGGGTCAAGGCACTATTACTTATAATCCCTAAGTTTGAATGTTTGTTGTGTTTAGAATCACCTGTGACTTATATTGGTGTGTCACTGGTCTAGGGTCACTAGAAAATAAATTACATGAACATAGCCAACTTCCTGAGAATTCACTTTCCTAGGAGTATCTTTTAGGATTTTATGACCAGTTGGATTTGTCTGGAATTTGGGGAGAATTTCAGTAAGCCAAAAAACATTTTTTTTAATTGAAATGTCAATATGAAATATATATGTATATAGTTTTTAAGGCTTTTTTTTTGTTTGGAGGATGGGATTTTTCTGATGTAATTGTGGATTTTCTTTCAGCCTTTGTCCACTGTAACCTCCATTGTCATCAAATGAAGGATATCCTTTAGCAAATTGAAAAAATGACAGCAATATTGGTAGATCCTATAATTGTAAGATGAAGGAGGTTAATATGAACTACTCAGTGTGTTTTTCTCTTCCTCTTTCAGGAGTACATCAGTACTTTGACATTGAACAATTGTGAAAAGCATGTGGGAGGACAGTGTCTCACTTTTCTACACCCTATTGGCAGGATACAAAGTGAACTACGTATTGTATAAAGCAGTTAGTTACTCAGTTCTGTGATTTCAGAGCCCCATTTTCAATCACTATTAACTAGAAAAAGCCCAAGACTCCTGGGTGCCTTTTGTTCCACCCACAGTTTTCCTGTCTTGTTAGAAAATTGAAGGTGCAGAAGAGCTGTGAGTTACAGGTGGGAGAACCACATTTCACGAAGTGAGGTATGTTACAGAGGCAGGAGGAATTTTATTTAGGGACTTGTGACAAATTGAGGATGGGGATAAAGCTTTGGAGAACTACCCAGGTTAGAAATGTAGATTGGGGAGTAATCAGAACAGCAGTTTCATTAGTGCAATAGGAGTGGAATTGTGGGTTACACAAGTTGAGAGAATAGAAGAAACTTTTCAATAAATTTAACAGGGAAAGGAAAGGGAGATGTGATGATAATTTGAAAAAAAAAGTGAAGATTTCTTTGTTTTTTGTCTTGTTTAGTGTTTATTTTCGAAGAATAGATATGTTAGCTCCTTAGAAGAAGCCCACAGGAAAAGAAGAAATCAAAAATACTAGAGCAGGTGGGATGACAAGGAGATGGATGGGATTAACTCAGAAGGCTAAATGGAAGAATTAGCCTTAGAAATGACATGGAATGTTGTTTACTTCCCAAACTATAGAGGGGGTAAGAGTGATGGGTAAGGATCCCAAGACTGTTGAAGTCGCTGGGATGAAAGTTGGAAATTTGAATGAGCAGAGTAGGGGGTTGTATCATCTGTTCTAACTTGGGACCTTGATGGCCTTTTGGGCTCCACAAGAGTAGCAGAGGTCAAGGTGGTTGTATGGGAGTTCTAGCAGGGCATCAGTGATGAATACAAGTGATGATAGGGGATTGTTAACTGAGAAAGGATGACTTTGGAGTGACTTTTCATCATCAACAGTAGGACTTGATTCCACAGTGCTCATTGGATTCTCATTCTCAGAGGTAATGGTTAGGTTTTCCTGAGAAATGCTTCAGAAGAATGTATATGATGCCCATGCTTTTTTAATTTTACAAAAATGCCATTAAAAGCCCTTCATCTGTATATTATTGCCGAAATGCCTTGCAGATAAGTGTTCTTGGCTTTTATTTTTAATTAAAATTTTGGCAGTAAGTCTAGTTACTGAGTTAAGCCCCATTTCATGGATTCTTTTCAACATTTTTCTTTTGAGATATGGAGAGAGTCTCCTTTGTGAATAATTGCATGGTTATTGATAGGATCTTAGTGTTAAGTAGTTTTCTCTTAGTGAAATAATATTTAAGGGCTTTGTAAGTTTGAAGAGTTCAGTGCTGAGCACACGTACACGGTGGTCTTGTGTTACATATTTGAAGCTGACAGAACTGTCTAAAAGCGTCACTTAAATTTCTATTATAAAAGCTCATTAGAAAAACTTGTGGGCATATATACAAAACCATAAACACTGCTTATAATCCTTTTCTCTACAGATAACAGCTGTCAACATTTTGATGTTGTTACCTTTTTTGGCTGTACCATGAGGCTTGCAGGATCTTAGTTCCCTGACCAGAGATTGAACCTGGGCCCCTGGAGTGGGAGCACCAAGTCCTAACCACTGGACTAGAGAGAATTCCCTGTTGTTACTTTTAATGTTATTATTTTTTTGTACACATGTAATTTTAAAAACCAGGATCGAGTTGTAATTTGTGACCAGATTATTTGCACTTTTATTTTCTTTTTCAATAAATGGTCTGAAAATATGATTTTAATGATTATAAAATATACTCATTTAATTATTCCCAATGTTTTGGGAGCATTTGTCCCCCCCCCTTTTTTTTGCTATTATAATATTTGGACAAGTTTATATATACAGCTTCTTTTCCAAATATCTGTTAGGGAAAAGGGATTGATTCTTAGCAAAGCAATTACTGAGTCAAAAGAATGAACCTTTTTAAAGTTCTTTATATATACACTACCAAATTGCTTTATACACATATCTACCAAATCTATATATACAGATTATGTCAGTGCCAATATAACACTCCCACTGGCAGGGGATGAAAGTACTTCCTACTTGGTTTTTATCTACATTGCTTTAAAACAACAACAATAATATTTGCATATTAGAAGATAAGAGAATCTTTTGAAAACTCAAAGTGCTGTTTTTCTGTTTCATAAATGACTTTCAAGTATGAGATCAGTTTCCTTGTTGTTAATTAAAAAAAGAAAAGAACAAGGAGCTAAGGCTTCTAAGAATACCCAGAACTTTGTAATATCTATTAAAAGTTACAGATCTGAAAAACTGAAGAACATCCTGATTTTGCTGTAAGGTAAGAGCACAAAATCAAGCAAATTCCAGACTCCCTTGTCAGTGACCTAATGTTCGTTTATTAAATATGGCATAGTTTTTTTAAAAAAAGAGAGTCATTATTACTCATGAAAGAAAACACATTTCTACTAAATTTTTGAAGCTGAGGAGAAATTCTCATTAAAAACAATTACCTAACAGCTTTTCCTAGTACATGACACAGTGCTTGGCACTTTGAAGATACTGACTAAATGTCTGTTGAGTGTGTGAAAGGACAGAACTTGTAATTGCCATTCACGGCTTTTTATTGCCCTATTGCATGACTGAAGCAATTAAGTTAATTCTACCAGGTTTGTTGATCTTTTAAAAAATTGCGTATACTGCTTACCTAGCAAGCATGTGATAAAACTAGGTAGTATTAAAAGGTATTCTAGGATTCTTAGATGAATTTTGAGTTTTTGCCTATTTATAAAAGTTTTTTGACATCTGCTTTTATATTATGGAACTACTAGGTTAGTGTGTGTGTTTTAGTGTTTTATGTTCTGTGTGTTTCAGTGCTTTAAAATTCTCTACCTTTATCACAAAGGAAAAGGTGCCATAAAATTGTCAGATTGCCCAAATTTTGTAAATCAGGAACTTTGGAATTAAGATTAGCTATATAAGATAAGAGGGGAAGTTAAAAAATGAATACATAATTCAAGAAAAAACTGGATTTAATGAAGCATGAGAAACAACCTAATAATAGGTAAGTAATAGGCTCTTCTTCAGGAAGTCATTATTTCAGTACCTTATTAGTATTGGATATACTAACTCATGTCTTAAGGATTAATTTCCTAGGCTACTGCCAAAGCAATGAAGATTATTTCATTAATAATATAAAGCTAGTGGAAATTTATAAAAGAAAACAGATTTGTAGGTTTCAAGACCAAAAAACAATGAAAAATGCACAACCCTGCAACAGATAATACACTTGTTCAATTGCTCCATAGTCCGACTCTTTGAGACCCCATGGACTGCAGCATGCCAGGTATACCTGTCCTTCACCATCTCCTGGAGCTTGCTCAGGCTCATGTCCATTCAGTTGGTGATATCATCCAACTATCTAGTCCTCTGTAATTCCCTTCTCCTGATTTCAATCTTTCTCAGCATTAGGGCCTTTTCTAATGAATCTATGTATCAGGTGGCCAGAGTATTGGAGTTTCAGCTTCAACATCAGTCCTTCCAATGGATATTCAGGATTGATTTCCTTTAGGATTGACTGGCTTGATCTCTTGGCAGTCCAAGGGACTCTCAAAGAGTCTTCTCTAGTACCACGATTCAAAAATGTCAATTCTTTGGCGGTTAGCTTTCTTTATGGTCCAACTCTCACATTCATACAGGACTACTGGAAAAAGGCATAGTTTTGACTGTATGGACCTTAGTCGGTAAAGTAATGTCCCTGCTTTTTACTACACTGTCTAGGTTTGTCATAGCTTTTCTTCCAAGGAGCAAGCATCTCCTAATTTCATGGCTGTAGTGACCAATTGCAGTGATTTTGGAGCCCCCAAAAATAAAGTCTGTCACTGTTTCCATTGTTTCCCCATCTATTGGCCATGAAGTGATGGGACCAAATGCCATGATCTTAGTTTTTTGAATGTTGAGTTTTAAGCCAGCTTTTTCACTCTCTTCTTTCACTTTCATCAAGAAGCTCTTTAGTTTATCTTCGCTTTCTGCCATAAGGGTGGTGTCATCTGCATATCTGAGGTTATTGATGTTTCCCCCAGCAATCTTGGTTCCAGCTTGTGCTTCATCCAGCCCAGCATTTCGCATGATGTACTCTGCATGTAAGTTAAATAAGCAGGGTGACAGGATACAGCCTTGATATACTCCTTTCCCAGTTTGGAACCAGTCCATTTTTCCATGTCTGGTTCTAACTGTTGCTTCTTGATCTGCATACAAATAATACAGACAAAATATTAATATCCTTACTACATAAAGAACTCTTAACAAAATCAACAGGAAAAATACTAACACATTGTAAAATGTTGTAGCAAAATAGCTAATAAATATTTTTAATTTTGCTCTCAATGGTAGTCAAAGAAATAAAAATTGATATAAAAAAGTTTTTCTCCTATCAGCTAGGTAAAATTTTAAAAATTAAAATTTCAGTGCTATTAAGGTTGTGAAATGAACACTTTTATAGACTGCTTTAGGGAGTGTAAATTTATGCAACGTTTCAGAAAGGTGCTTGGCTAAGTATACTACACCCTTAGAAGTGTTCATATTGTTTGATTTAGTAATTTCCTTTCAAATTACTTATCCTGAGAGATTGTATATTTGGATAAATAATTATAAACAAGGTTTCATTTCAGTATTATTTGTAATACAAAAAAATAGAATTTTGAACAGAATACCTGTTATTGAAGGATAATATTTAATAAATTATGATGTTTAATTAATGGACTATTTATATAGGCATTAAAATGTTTTCAAGTAATATAGCTGGGTAAATGTTCAGTATATAATATTAAGTGAAAATAAATAGGGTACTAATATCTATACACACACACAACACTGATTCTATAAAAATATACATATGCATGTAGAAAAAAGTACCAAGATATTATGGATCAGTTATTGCTAATTAGGGGAATTATTGGTCATTTTAGCCTTATTCATGACTCCTTTCTTATTCTAACATATTTGCAATGATCCTGTATATCATTGATTTGTAAAAGTTACTTAAATATAAGAAACACTTTGAGCTTCTACCTGTATACTCTTGGTACTTTTCTCTGCCCTGCACTGACTGCCCTCTTCCTTTAATAATAATAGCTGTAGATTTCTCTGGTTGTCCACAGTGGTTAAGAATCCACCTGCCAATGCAGGAGACACAGGTTTTATCCCTGGTCTGGGAAGATTCCACCTGCCACAGAGCAGCTAAGCCCATGCACCACAACTATTCAGCCTGCACCCTAGAGCCTATATTCCACAAGAAGAGAAGCCACCACAATGAGAAACCCATGCACCACAACTAGAGAAGTAGCCCCCACTTGCAGCAACTAGAGAATACATGGGCACAGCAACAAAGATACAGTGCAGCCTAAAACCAAAAATTAAAAAAAAATAATAGCTGCCATGTATTGAGCACATTTTATATCCATTGAGTGCTCTGTATGCATTCTCATATAATGTTCATAGTAACTGCATTTTAAAGATGATGACCCAGGCTTGGTGAAGATTTGTTTTGTTTAAGATCAAACAGCAGGCAAATGACAGAGCAAGAATTTTAATTCATTCTGGCTCCAGTCAGATATAACAGTAGAGAATAATGTAATGAACCCCATATGCCCATCATGCAGCTTCAGTAACTACATATGGCAGTGTACTTTATCAATGCCCCTATCTGTGGCCCTAGTGGTAAAGAGCCCACCTACCAATGCAGAAGACCTAAGAGATGCAAGTTCTATCCCTGTGTCAGGAAGATCTCCTGGAGGAGGGCATGGCAATCCACTCCAATATTCTTGCCTGGAAAATCTCATAGACAGAGGAACCTGGCAGACTACAGTTCATAGGATTGCAGAGTCAGACGACTGAAGTGACTGAACATGCACTCATTCCTCAATCCCTTCCATATAATTTTGAGATAGGTTCCAGACATACTCATTCATAAATATTTTACTATATATCTTTAAAAGATAGAGCTCTTTTGAAAATAATTATTGTATCTAGAAATATGGTCATATTCCTCATAAATGTAATAAATATATCTTGTTTGTAGCTCTGGGAGTTGGTGATGGACAGGGAATCCTGGCATGCTACAGTCTATGGGGTCGCAAAGAGTCGGACACGACTGAGCAGCTGAACTGAACTGTTTGTATCTTAAAAAATTGTATGGATTCTGTAGTTTCTGTTGTGATTGATTTTGTGTCATTTTTAAGGTGGAACTTAACTTCCTGTGGAACAAGTGTGGCCAGTTCAGAATGCAGTGAAGAACTGTTTTCATCCGTTTCTGTTGGAGATCAAGATGATTGCTATTCCCTATTAGATGATCAAGAGTTCACATCTTTTGATTTATTTCCTGAAGGGAGTGTCTGCAGTGATGTCTCTTCTTCTATTAGCACATACTGGGATTGGTCAGATAGCGAATTTGAATGGCAGGTAGGTTTTTTTTTTTCTTATATTGCCATTATTACTCCATAAGTAGAAGTATGAATTTCTATTTCAGTATTTTCATTTCTACCTCAAAGTAAATTTCTCCCAATTTTTATTCAGTCCTAGAGATTCTCTTACAGCATTAAGAATTAGAAGAAATATGTATCCTTTATTTTTACTAATGTACCTTTTAGGCTTCTCATGCTGCAGGTGACCTTTGTACATTTTCATGTAATTTAGTACTTGTATAATGTTCCTCGTAATATATATATCATCAATACCTTTCTGTGTATTAATCCAAGCAAATTTTCTCTTTAGTAATAAATGGCCTTCATGTCCTTATAGGTATAATAACTTTACACCAGGGTCATATTATATAAGATCACAAACCACTCCATAGTACATAATTTTTCATTGTTGTCAGGAATATAATTTCTCATTTTGTATTCTCTTCATATGTAGAGATGTTTCCCACCTAACAGTGTTTTTCTTCTGTGGCACATTATAACACATTATAAAATGGCTTTGTGGCAAATTGCTGTCATTATGAGGCAGCATTTCCAAACAGTCCTTCAGAAAATGTAGATCATGTTATTGCAACATCCATTTTCTGATTGTAAAAGAGAATAACAACAACAAAAAAGACAATAACATTTGAAGAAGCTTTCTTTGCATACAGAAACTGTTATATTCAGTGTATGCTTGAATATCGCCTTCTAGGTACTTGAAATTGTTGTACAAAAGAGGCGTCAAACATTTCATTTTGAAAAATTTTTATTAAAATATAAAATAATATCGAATGGCATACAATTAAAAATAAGTCTCCAAGTCCAACTCTGCTGTGGTTACCACCATTAAGAGCTTATACAGATACAGTATGTTTGCACAGTGTTACAAAGGCACACAAAGGGACTTCCCTAGCAGTCCAGCTGTTAAGACTCTGTGCTTCCACTGAAGCGGGCACAGGTTTGATCCCTGGTCACCTCAGTGATAGCAGTTTCAACTACTTTATCTCATTCTTTTCAATAACTGAAGCATAATTGAATCATTTCCCTATTAATGAATATTTAGGTTGATTTCAGTTTTTTCTAGTTATAAACAATACTATGCTGAAAAATAAGAGGTTTTTAAAGAGGAAGAAATAATCTACAACCACTTTTATTTTTGTATTTTATTTTATTTCAAATCCTTCTGTTTCATATGTAGTTATAAATATGATTTGGATAAAAAGTTAAAAATTTAGATAAAAGGTACCATTTTAATAATTTTAACATGTATAATTCAAAGATTTTAATATATTCACAATGTTGTGCAACCACCACCATATCTAAGTCCAGGATATTTACATCACTCCAAAAGAAACCCATACCTATTAGTGGATAGTCCTAATTTCCCCCCGTCACCTGGCAACCACTCTTCTGCTTTCTCTATGGATTTACCTATCTGGACATTTAATATAAATGTACTCATGTAATATGTGGCCTTTTGTGTCTGTGGTCTTTCACTTAGCATTACTGTTTTCAAAGTTCATCCAGGTTATAGCACATAAGAGTATTTCATTCCTGTCTTAAGTCAGCTTGGGCTACTGTAACAAATATCATTGACTGGGTGCGTTAAAAAACAAACACTCATGGTTCTGGAATCTGAAAGTCCAAGGTCAGAATGCCATCATGGACAGGTTCTGGTGAGCATACTCTTCTTGGCTTGCAGATGCTGTCTTCTGCAATATCCTCTTTTGGTTCCCTTATAAGGTCACCAGTCCCATCACAAGGGCTCCACCTTCATGACTTCTTATAAACTTAATTACCTCCCAAAGCCCCACCTTCAAATACTATATTGGGGATTAGGGCTTCAAGATGCTTATTTAGGGGGTGACAAACATCTAGTCCATAGCAGTTTCTTTCTATGACTGACTATTCCATTTTATAGATACATCACATTTTGTTTAGTTCATTCATCAACTGATGGATTGTTTCCACTTTGGAGCTATTATGAATAATACTACTATGAACATTCAGGTATATGTTTTCATATGGATTTTTATTTTTAATTCTCTTGATGATCCATTGAGATTTTCTGGGTCATGTGATAACTTTATGTTCACTTTTTTGGGAAACTGCCAAAATGTTTCCCAAAGTGGCTGTACCATTTTACATTTCTACTAGCAATACATGAAAGTTCCAGTTTCTCCACTTCCTTTCCAACACTTTATATTGTCTGTCTTTTTTATTACAACCATTCTACTGTGTGTAAGGTTGGTATGTTATTGTGATTTTGATTTGCATTTCCCTAATTACTAATGATGTTGAGCATCTTTTCTTATCTTATTGACTATTTGTATATCTTCTTTGGGAAAATGTCTTTTCAAATCCTTTGCCCATTTTTAAGTTGTGTTGTCTTTTATTTTTGAATTGTAAGAATACTTTATATATGATGACTACTAGACCCTTATCATATACATGATTTGCAAAAATATTTCCCATTATTTGTGTTGTCTTTTCACTTGCTTGTGTCTGTTTGCTTGATATAGTGTCCTTTAATACACAAAAATTTAACTTTTAAAGAATTCCAATTTATATTCTCTTGAGTTCTATGCTTATCATGTCATATTTTAAAAACCATCCCTTAATCCAAGATTATGCACATTTTTTTCATCTGTTTCCTTCTTAGAATTTTATAGCTTTAATTAGTTCCTATATTTTAGGTCTTCGATCCTTTTGAGTTACTTTTTGTTTATGGTATAAGGTAGGAGCTCCAGATTCATTCTTTTGAATGTAGATATCCAGTTGTCCCAGCACCACTTGTTGAAAAGACTGTATTTTTTCCTTATCTAATGGTCTTAGTACCTTTGTGGAAATGAATTGGTCATAGACATATATAGGTTTGGTTCTGGACTCTTGATTCTATTCCACTGATTCATATATCTATCTATGGCAAGTTATGTTTTGATGACTCTAGCTTTGTAACAAGATTAGAAATCAGAAAGTATGAGTTCTGCAACTTTGTTCTTTTTTATCAAAGTTTAGGACCAGCTTGTCACTTCTTCAAAAAAGGGAAGTTAGAATTTTGATAGGGATTTCATTGAATCTGTAGATCAATTTGGGGAATGTTGCTGTCTTAATAGTATTATTAAATATTCTAGTCCATAAACATGGGCTGGAATGTATTTAGGCCTTCTTTAATTTCTGTCAGCGATTTTTTAAATAGTTTTCTATGTTTAATTAGGTCTTTTAGTTCCTTGGTTCAGCTTATTTATTCCTAAACATTTTAGTCTTTCAATACAGTTGTAAATGGAGTTGTTTTCTTGATTTCATTTTTTTGGGTTTTCACTGCTAGTGTATAGAAATACAGTTGTGTTTCATATATTAGTTTTGTATCCTGAAACTTTGCTGAACTCATTTTAAATAATTTTTTGTGTATAGATTCTTTAGGGTTTTCTATATTTAAGATCATGTTATCTATGAATACCCCTGGAGAAGGAAATGGCAGCCCACTCCAGTATTCTTGCCTGGAAAATCCCATGGACAGCGGAACCTGGTAGGGTACCTTCCACAGGGTTGCAGAGTCGGACATGACAGAGCGAGATCTCCTCCATCTATGAATATATAGTTTTGTTTTTTCCTTTCCAATCTGGATACTTTTCTTCCTTGCTTAATTGCCCTGACGAGATCTCTAGTACAATGTTGAAAGAGAGAAGATCTAGATACCTCTGGCAAAAGCAGGCATCCTTGCTTTTTTCCTTATCTTAGTTGAGAAGCTTTGTCTTTCACTATTGAGTATGTTAGCTGTAGCTTTTTCACAGATGTTCTTTATTGTCATATTGAGGCATTTCCCTTTTATTCCTAGTTCTGTGTTTTTAATCTGAAAAGGTGTTAGATTTTGTCACATGCTTTTTCTGCACGTCTGTTAAGATGATCATGCAGTTTCTTCTCTTCATTCTGTTAGTGTGATGTAGTATATTGATTTCTAATAATGATTTACCCTTGCATTCCTGGGATTAATCATAATTGCTCATGGTATATAATCCTTTTAAATTGCTGCTGGATTTGGTTTGCTACTATTTTGTTGAAGATTTTTGCATCGGTATTCGTAAGAGATACTGCTCTGTAGTTTTCCTTTCTTGTGATGCCTTTGTATCACTTTGACCTTACAGAATGAATTGGGCAGTGTTCGCTTTTCTTCTGGATAAGATGCTGTAATAAAAATTTTTCATTTAGCATATAAACTTTTTTGTGATATTTAAATTATTCATTTGATAACTACATAATATTCCTGGTATTAGATATTCCAGAACCTATGAAACCATTCCTCTATTCATATCTGTTTCAGTTTTTTTCTATTATAAATAATAGTGTGCATTTTTGTTTAGATATTATACCTTTTTATTCTCCAGTGCCTCATTTAAAAAAATTTTATTGAAGTATAGTTGATTACAATATTGTATTAATTTCTTCTGTACAGCAAGGTGACTCTGTTATACACATACACACTCCTATATATATATATATATATATATATTCTTTTCCATTATGGTTTATCACAGGATATTTAATATAGTTCCCTGTGCTGTACAGTAGGACCTTGTTATTTATCCATCCTATATATAATAGTTTGCCTCTGCTAATCACAAATTCTCATTCTTTGCTCCTCTACTTCCCACTGTCTCATTTTTTTGAAGTGCACACTTTGTATTTAATATCTAATAACAAACTCATGGATTTATTGCAAAGAAGAAATTGATATCATATGTGAAATGTATGACTTGTGTTAGGGTTAACACAGATACCTCCTCAGCTTGATCTTTCTTTTGGTTAATGAACAAGGTAGGAGTTTCATACTGAAGAATAATTGATTTGTCTGGTTAAGTAAGCATGGGGAAATGCTCTTCTTTAGAGATTCATGGGGCAGGTTTATATATTAAAGGTGGTTTGTAAATCTGCACAAAGAATTCTATTTTGTTGTTGTTGTTTAATATGGTGTCTCCCACAGTTTAATCATCAGAAGAC